TGTAGAAAGAATAGTAAATATGGCAGGCGACCAGCTTGGCTTAACAGTGAAATCCTTGCTGATCTTAAACACAAAAAAGAAGCTTTCGAGAAGTGGAAGTTTGGACAAATGACCAGGGAGGAGTATAAAAATATTGCTCAGGCATGCAGGAGTGAAATCAGGAAGGCCAAATCACACTTGGAGTTGCAGCTAGCAAGAGATGTTAAGAGTAACAAGAAGGGTTTCTTCAGGTATGTTAGCAACAAGAAGAAAGTCAAGGAAAGTGTGGGCCCCTTACTGAATGCATTGTAAATTAGAGCAGGAGTCTCAAACTCAAAGTTTTGCATTGTTTTGTTTTTGTAACAAAACAAAAAATCTACATTTGTAAGTTGTACTTTCATGATAGAGACCTCACTACAGTACTTGTATGAGGTGAATTGAAAAATACTTTCTTTTGTTTATCATTTTTACAGTATAAATATTTAATCAAAAATAATATAAAGTGAGTACTGTACACTTTGTATTCTGTGTTGTAACAGAAATCAATATATTTGAAAATGTAGAAAAATATCCAAAAATAAATTTCAACTAGTATTCTATTGTTTAACAGTGCGATTTAAAACTGCGATTAATCGTGACTAATTTTTTTAATCACGATTAATATTTTTGAATTAATCGCGTGAGTTAACTGCGATTAATTGACAGCCCTACTAATCAGAAGTGGGTTTTCATAAATGTTTGCTGAAATTAGTGTAAGTCTAGTTAGGAAAACTCACTTTGGATTTAGTATATATTGAATCTTGCAATTTTCCCATGGAGTTGGTCAATAAAGGCACATAGTCAAGTGATTTTAATGGAGTGCTTGCAGTGTATGGCTAATTCTGGATTAGGATGTAGAACCTTCTAAATTGCTAATGCAAATGCACTAATTTTTACTCTAACCACCAGTGCACATAGCATGTGTAAATAACATCTAACAAGAAGCAGATGTAATAAGATTCTTTTGATCTTTTACTGTTTGTAATCTTTGTCATATAATATCTTTTTCGATATTCTAGCCAACTTGTATTGTAAACTCCTAAGGGCAAGATCATGTCATGTTTGTCAGTAAAATGCCATGCATGCCTATAGCGTTATATAAATAATCTCAATGAATCTTCCACAAAATGACCCTTCAGACATGAGGATGTCTTCAGAAAAGAATGTATAAAGGAATGCTATTTAGCTGTTACCTGTATGAAAACAGTATTTTAGCAGTTCTCATTGGGGCAACTGGATATTATGAACAGAACATGAACTGATTGTTTTCAGCCCTTTTAGAGTACATTTTCTGTTTTTAATCTTTAAAATGTTGAGAAGGGGTATTGATATATTCTGCATGAATTATGTAAAAGTATTTTGTATATGTATTTTCCTCCATAATTGTTCCAACATCATTACTTACTCTGGCGTAGAGAGTAAATTCTATTGCTGCTCACCTGCTGCTTACTTTCATGCATGATCAGTGAGCTACACTGACAGCAGGGAAGATTAAGCATATTTTAGAGCCACAATGGTGTGAATTCATTGTTTCATTTACTATAGTAATTGTGTGTGTGTTTAAAATACAATACAGTTCTTACAGCAAATAACTTGCACTAAGCTATTAACTTAATAACATAGTACAAGCATCCTGATTGGCTAATAATTTAGATTGGTTAATTAAATCACACAGTGCTTTAGTATCATGTGCTGCAAAGAGCTGCAGGAGACTCATTTAAAGAGCCTCAGTCTGAGTATCACTGTTTTAGAGCAACACAACCACAAGTGTGAAAGGAGTCTGGTTTTTTACTGAAACTCCTTTCGGAAAAGTCTGGTTCCATGAATACATTAATAACCCTTGAAGTTGGGAGTGACTTATGGTCACAGCTTAGATTGCTTGTTGGCTTTATAACCATTCAGCACTGAGTGACATCATTGGTTTTTCCTTGGGAGTTTCGAATCTAAATATTCACAGTTCACTGCAGATTATATAGCTTGAAGGCTTGGTGTGATGCAGCTCTGTAAGAAGAACTGCTCTTGAATTCTGAAGAGGTAGCGAAGAAAGCAAAGAGCCATTAATCTGAGAAATTGCTATCTGAGAAGAGTGTGCGTTAACTGAGCCCTGGCTAACGTTTCTCTTCAATAATTCAGTGCCCTGGTGTTGTATTTTTTAATTGGATAGAAGTAGCAGGCCCCGAGACGTTAAGACCTTTCTTACTGTGACAACATTAAACAATTTAAAATATGTTTGGATTGAGGTTTTGCAACTACAGAGAGTTTTGCTTATTCACTATAGGAAATACACAACAAATTCCCTTAAGTTTTTATTAATCATAGAAGTATAAGAAGAGACTCAAAGCAGGCACGGGATGTTTCTTAATGAGTCTGAGGATTGAACAATTATCTGTTTTCAATGGTTTCAAGCCTTAAAGTCCTTCAGAGGGTTGATTACTGATTTGGAGCA